GTATGTGATCACTGTGGTTCCCTAGAGTCTGCTCGCCGTCGGCCCCCATCCTATATGCAAAGCGTTTCGGCCGCTGAACTCATTGGATTATATACGGACGACATTTAGGGATTACGGGGCAACGCGCTAGAAATGTCAATAAATCTCAAATACAATTTTGTTACTATTTAATAAATCCTACGTCTCTTGAAAATTTTGCATTTTTGAGATGAATGAGCACGCTTGTAATATGAGCCCATGCAACAAACAGCATTTGATATTAAATGACTTTTTTTGACTTTGTCATGGTCATTATTAAAAACATTCTCTTCCATCACCTTCCAATTTTCAAGCTCTTTTAGGCATATTATGCATCTATCGTGGAGACCTATCGTATGTTTTCTAACGTTTTTTTGCATATCCTCAACAGCAAGATCATTTCGAGTCCAGAAGATTGGACGATATGAGTAAACCCAGCACTGTATCGTGATTCATCAGCTCCATTGTCTCGAATATTCTTAGATTCTTTCAAACTCCTCCCAGTCCTCAGCTGAACGTCCCCTTCATTCTCTGATATCCTTAATGCCCTTCGCATTGCTTCCCCTCTCGACTGATGATGAGTGGTAGATCCATGAAATCGCAAATCACTTTCAATTCGATTCCACGCTACTTGCACAACCTCTATCGTCGTCCTACCTGCCCAACTCGCAGTACTCTCGTGACGCCAAAGAAGTGTGTTGCCATCTCAGTTATTCAGGAACATCGGTCTTGATTCTAACAAGATCTGGTGTGGATACCGTATGTGTGAATGGCGAAAGTTCTTGTTATCGTCCCGGATACGTTTCCAGAAACCCCACAAAAGAATGAAATTTTACTCAAATCAGCAAATTTTGAGTGTAAGGAAAGGTAGGAATTGAGTGTTGTGGTGGTGGTTGTGAGAGTGGAAATTCAGTAAAATAAACTTCTTTTCCTAATTTTGTTAGATGTTTCAATGTGCGGCACCCCGTCATATATATTCAGGCCATACATTGCGTCGCCTTTTATGCCGATCGCCACCCAGCTGCCGATACCTCTGGAACGTCGAGCGCCCGGTTCACCCAAGGAAGCAAAGCGGAATTTGGCCTATGGAAGTAATCGTCGACCCGCTGTTGAAGAGGGTCTTTTGTCCGGGGATGAGCAACAGACACCGAGCAGCAATGAAGAGTAAGTTTTGCTTTGTTACATTATTGTTTTTTCCATTTATTTTTATGTTCCAGGTTATCGAAAATTTATTCAAATTTGGTCAGATCACTTCAAATATGCTCTAGCAGATTAAGCCTATAGAACCTTATTAGTCACTTTTATATAAC